AAAAGTTTCTACACTCCAGGAAGCCTCTCTGCTGATACAGGAATCCAAATCAGATCAAATCAAACCGAATTAGGAAAAGCCCACGTTTAATGGATACAATGCTCCTGGTTAGCCTTCCAGCCCCCCAGAGAGGAGAAGGGAACAGGAGACGAGGAGAAACACGAGTCTGGTTTTGGGGGGGGCAGTTTAAATACCCCATGGGAGTGGTCTTGAGCATCTCTGGGGGAGGGGTCATCATTTGGTGGGTTTTTTGGGATGCAGCAGGGTTTGGAGGGAGACAGGGGAGGGGGCTTGGGTGGAACTTCCTCCATAACATTCCAGACTCTTAGGGTATGTGGATGCCAGGGGCTGGGGTGAGGCTTCCACCGCAACAATACCCATCTCCCACGCTGAGTATTTTATACTTTATAACCATGTTGTGATCACAGCCCCGCGGACTTGATTTGTCGCTTTGCAGTTATTTGTTTGAGACTGTCTCATTATGCAGTGCCGACAAGCCTCAAACTCTCTGCCTCACTCTCTAGAATCCGGGGATTATGGCGGTGAACAAGTCCTCTATACAGGTGGAGACACTGAGGCAGATTGTGGGTGGCACTCGCCTTGACTCAAACAGCTAGGATGGGGGGGGGCTCCTGATTGGAAGCCAGGTCTGTCACACATTCCAAAGGCCTTGGCCTCCTCTCCCCGACTTGACTCTCTCTCCCTCAGCTCAGTTTTCATGTCTGCAATGGTGGCTGGTAACAGCGAGAACCTCGGGGTTGTCGTATGATGCAAAATGCTACTTTAAAAAGCACTCCCAGCAGTGGGTGCCGCCTTTAAAGCAATGACGGCCCTTCAGACACTGTGTCTCAGTAAATACTAATCTTTGTGGTATCTGTCATTTACAGAGTGGCCATTAGTCGGCAGGTGCTAGTGTTGGCGCCAACCAGAGCAGTAACAACTTCCTTCAGTTACAACTTCCTAATCTCAGTCACGGAAAACAACTAAAGTGAGCGAGTCAGCTTGTGCTGTAACAATGCCATGTAACAAACCAAACCCAAACGAAGACTTCAGACAACAAGCATTCTAAGGGTGCGTAGGTTGGGCTGGGATAGCCCTTCTAGCTGGTTTGCTCTAGAACAGGCTCAGCCTCAGCCTCACTGATTCGCTGGCAGATGCTCTCACAGCATGAAAGTCAAGTGCACGCAAGGTTTGTGTTGTTGTTATTGAGGTTAGCACTGGTAGCGCTCCAGTGACCGAGATGACTCACCAGGCCAAAGCCAACATCAAGGTGGGAGTTTCACTGGGAGGGAGGGGTGTATATTTGCTGAATGAGCACCTACTGGCAAAAGGCTGAGGCTTTCCTTTGCTCTACAAGTTTAGCATAATCCAAATCGGGTTTCTGCCCATTCCAGGCATGGGTCAGCCGATGTCTTTGCCAAAGGGAAGTGCCTACATGTGCCTCACCTGCATGATTAAACACTGTGACCCAGAAGTGACTTAACACTCTCAGCTCCGTGGATGGAGTTAGTCATATGACCAAACCTCACAAAAGTTAGACTTCTTCCCCAGTGA